CTGTGAACCTTTGGCCCCAGTGGGAGGCCAAGCTCCTGCTACTCTGAGGGGAGTGCTCCTTCCAGAGTCGTCTGTCACCTGGACCTCAAGGCACCTACCTGCTCTGTGAACAATGCTGCCTCCAAGGGACTGACTTTCTGGAAGGTCCCTCATTCAGGCAGGCTGGGGAGGAGGAGTGGTCCACTCTCTCCTCGTCAGGCCCCAGAAATGCACGGATAGGCCTGGCCTGAGAGGGGAGGGCTGGGCACTGCCGCTCTGGTTGGGTGGGGGCTGAGATGGCATCAAACACCCTCATCCCTATTGCTACATGGGTGACCCCTCAACTGCCTACCAGACCTCCAGGTGACTTGAGGACGCTCAATACCCCCAAATCTCATAAAGTCTACCAGATACGGCACCCAGAGAAGGGAGGGCAAAATAAAACATGGCCTGTTTCCAGATTTCCAGCACAAGTGGGGATACACAATTTCTACTGGGTTGGTGGGAGGCTCACAGGAAAGGAGTTGAAAAGCACCCAGGGAGCACTTGCCCAAGGGAAGGGCTGCCTCTGTTTCCCTAGCGTGCTCCTCATTTGCATTGAGTGTTGTCTTTTGGTGACAGCATTCTTTCCCAGTCACAGCCATGCTCTCCTTTGAGTGACAGGACCTGTCATCACATTTCCCAGTGAGACATCCTGGTGAGATTCGGAAGGCAGAAGGCAAGCAGAAGCCATTCCTCCATGGTTGACAGCACTGGTGATGGGGTAGACACAGCATTGTCCTGGCTCTGGCAAGGCCTATGGTGGGCACCGAGCAGGGAGCTGGGACACAGCCTGGACTGCACAGAACTGGATGTCCCAAAGGGACTCAGGTGGTAAATGGGTAATGTATGAACAGGGAGTCAGAGTCCTAGATGGGGCCCTACAGGACCAGGCCTTCCTTCCCAGACCATAGACCAACCAGTCCCCAGAGAGTACATACAACAGGCCCCCGACTCCTCTTGCCCGAGGTAACAGTAAGCCAAGAATGGAAGGAATGGAAGCTTTATCTCTTACTCCACCCCAGAAGGACTTTGTTGCTTTTGCCTTGCAATCCCTGGAACTTGGAAGAAGAACTGTAACCAATTATCAGGCCAGTCAGGTGCCTCATGCATGAAGATGGGAGGAAGGGTGGCCAAGAGGCCCCAGGGAGCCAGATTTCCCCCATAGACTTTGGGTAGGGATAAACATCCTTTGTTTACTACAAGGGACATGTGGTGTGTGTCTGATCACCAGTCCTGCTCTGGCACATGAAAAAATTCACAAGAAAGAAACCAGGGTGATGATCACTTAATGTCATCATAAGAAGACCATTAACAGGAACTTCACACTACACACCTATCAGCATGACTGAAGAGAAAACTAGCAGCAGCATTCAACACTGGCAAGAATGCAGAGAAACTGGAGCACTCCGCTGGCTGGTGGCCATAGAAAATGGTACAGTCACTCTGCACAACAGTTTGGCAGTTTCTTCAAAACCACATGTGCAATCACCATACGACCCAGCAGTTGCACTCCTGGGTATTTGCCCTAGAGGAATGTAATATATGTTCACACAAAAACCCATCCATGCCTGTTCACAGCATCTTTATGCATAGTAGCCCAAACTGAAATCACCCCAAATGTCCTGGAACAGGTGAGGGGTTAATACACTATATGGTGCATCCAGCCCCTGGGATACACTATGGTACATCCAGCCCCTGGAATCAAGCTCAGCAAACAGAGGAGCCCACTGTCAGTCCACACCTGGGTAAAGCTCCAGGAAACTCTGTTGAGTCTGTTGAGTGAAAAAAAAAAAAAAATTCCCAGCTGGGCATGGTGGCTCATGCCTACATTCCCAGCTCTTTGGGATGCCAAGGTGAGAGGATTCCAGAGTCTAGGAGTTCAAGACCAGCCTGGACAACATGGTGAGACTTCGTCTCTACAACAAACCAAAAAAATTAGCCAGACATGGTGGTGTCTTGCCTGTAGTCCCAGCTACTTGGAAGACTGAGGTGGAAGGATCACCTGAATCAAGTAGGTCGATACTGCAGTTGCTGTGTGTGAGTGTGCTACTGCACCCCAGCCTGGGCCCCAGGGTGAGACTCTGAGTCCAAAAATAAAAATAAAAAAAGCCATTTCCATATCCTGACTATGGTGAACTTGCTCAGGTGATCACATTGTATTGACCCTCCCACACAGGCACATGTAGACATGGAACACTGGGAGTGCTGGTTAGTTGTGGACAGTATCACCTGGGAACTGGGCAAAGTGCACAACACAAAATGATTGTTTCTTGCAACTACATGTGGGCCTACACTTATGTCAAGAATTCCGATGTATAAATGATGAACAGGTAGCTATAAAGCCTTCTGACTGGTCTTAACTTTGTAGTGATTTAATTAATTAAGGGCCTGCCTGCTAGCTAGTGTCCCCTGGACCAAAGAATTTGCCTAACTCGGCAAGACAAAGCAGGAGCTAGAAGGAATTATGGGGACAACTAACAGGAGGCAGGGAAGGCTCCCAGGAGGGGATACGCTCTCAGAAACCTAAGGGATGACCAGCAGGAAGCAAGGTGGGGTGGAGGCAGGAGAACACCAGAAAGCTCTGCCTGAGGGGAGACCTGTGGGCACACTGGGGAGTGGAGCAGGCAGTTGCTGGGCAGTGAATGGGGTCACCCTGGGCTCTGGGGGCCAAGCCTGTGGCTCAGGGGTAAACAGGCCTGAGAGGAGAAGGGGTTGCTATGTTTGGGCTGGGGTAGGTGGGGCTTGGGGAAAGACTTTCTTTGGCAAAGTTTTAAATTGTGGTAAAAACTTAAAACATAAAATTGACCATCTTTTTTTAGATTAGAAAATGTAGTTTATTTAGAAAGTAAATTAGGGTGAGAGGAGCGAGAGAGAGAGAGAGGAGATTAATCTCCCCAGGAGGAGAGGGGACCAAAGCTTAGGAAACATGGCAAAAGCCATAGCTCAAAGAGTACATGGCCACACCAGAGTCTAGTAAGGCAATGGCCTGACCATCTTTTTAAGCATATGGTTCAGCAGTGTTAAGTAGATGCACATTGGGTATAACCATCTCCAGAACTTTATCATCTTGCCAAACTGAAGCTCGCTACCCATTAAACACCTACTCTAACCCTAACCCCACCTGTAACCCTAACCCCTTCCTGCTCCTAGCCCCAGGTGTTCTCCAGTCTACCTCAGTCTCTATGAATTTGCCTGCTGTAGGGACTTTGTAGAGGTGTATTCATATAATCATTCCCTTTTTGGTTATTTTGTTTTATTTGAGTCAGAGTCTCACTGTCGCCCAGGCTGGACTGCAGTGGCATGCTCATGGCCACCGCAGCCTCAACCTGCTGGGCTCAGGCGAGCCTTTCACCTCAGCCTTCCAAGTAGCTGGAACTACAGGCATGCACCATGATGCCCAGCTAATTTTTCTTGATTTATTGTAGAGATGAGGGCTTGCCAAGCTGCTCAGGCTGGTCTCGAACTCCTGGGCTCAGGCAATCCTCTTACCTTGGCCTCCCAAAGTGCTAGGATTATAGGCGTGAGCCACCGTGCCCAGCCTTCCTATTTGGTTGTTTAAAAATTTACTTTAGCTGGGCTCCGTGCCTCAGCCTGTAATCCCGCGGCTTGGGAGGCTGAGGTGAGTGGATTGCCTGAGCCCACGAGTTTGAGACCTGCCCGGGCAACTTGGTGAGACCTCATCTCTACAATAAATCAAAAACTAGTCAGGTGGGGTAGTGCACCCTTGTAGTTCCAGCTACTCGGAAGGCTGAGGCGGAAGGATCGCTGGAGCCCAGCAGGTCGAGGCTGCGGTGGCCGGGAGTGGCCGCTGCACTCCAGTCTGGGCGACTGAGTGAGACTCCAACTCAAAAACAAAAACAAAAACTTATTTCACAGGAGACAGTATTTGTCTTTTTCTGATTGACTTATTTAACTGCGCATAATATCCTCAGGGTTCATCGGTGCTGTAGCATGTGTCAGGGTCTCCTTCCTTCTTCAGGCTGCATGATATTCCATCATATGTATGTACCCCACTTGGTTTATTCTCTCCTCCTTCGATGGACACTTGGGTTGCTCCTACATATTGGCTACTGTGAATAGTGCTGCTGTGAACAAGGGTGTACAGAGATCTATTTGAGTTCTTGCTTTTGCTGTTGTTGTTCCTGTGTTTATATCCACCTAAGTGGGATATCAGGATGGGAGGAATACTTGGAACCCAGGCCGAGGTTCTCAAGGGACCTGAGCCCCTTATCAGAGGCCACACCCGCGGGTATGCCCAGGGCCTGTGGAGAACACATTCATGTCGGGGCTCCATTTATTTGTGAAAGAGGCCAGGTGTCATCCCCAAGTGCATAAGCCTGTACCAGCCACTCCGAAAGGCCCAACCCTGGCCTGGTTGGCCCAAGGTAATGGTCCTCTCCCAACTGTTTCCTCCAGACATCGGTGCACAAACCCACACACCAAGGGTGTACCAGGGTGTCGGGCCACCCAAGTCCCTCTTTCCATGTCTCTGGGGTTCGACGTATTAGGGGTCCACACCCAGGCCCTGGCCCAGGCTTGCGCCTAGGTCTCATTTCCCTTCAGCGCTGAACAGAGCTGACTGTAGCTCCCAGGAAACACTGAACAATGAGTGAAGGAAAGAGTGACACTGGGTCTCCCACAAGACACCATGAGCTGAGGGTGGGGTGACTCCCAATGCCTGATGCAGATGCTCCTCACCCAGGTGCATCTGCCCTCGATACCCCACCCCACCCTGGAGGAGACAGCTGAGGCCCACCCTGTGAGCCGCCTGCTTCAGGACCCCTGCCCCTAGGCCAGCTCAGCCACACCCTGCACTTCCCTTCAGCCACTTTGGCTTCAGGTCATGGGGCGGGGCGGGATCAGGGTGGCAACAAGGGGAGAGGGTGGGACACAGTCCTCACTGATTTAAACCCAGGCAGCCTGTACTGTGGCTGTTCCCTGGTGTCCCAGCCTTTCCACCCTCCTGCAGTCCCACAGACATGCAGGGGTCCTGGGTGCTGCTGCTCCTACTGGGCCTGGGGCTCCAGCTCTCCCTTGGAGTCAACCCAGGTAAGGAGGCCCCCACAGCCACCCCATAGACAAGAAAGCCTCCCCAGGGAAATGCCCCTCCCAATCCCCCCAGGGTGACTCACCCTTCACTTTCCCCTTGCCAGTTGAGGAGGAGAACCCAGACTTCTGGAACCGCAAAGCAGCCGAGGCCCTGGATGTCGGTTCAAAGCTGCAGTCCACGCGGGTGGCTGCCAAGAACCTCATCCTTTTCCTGGGGGATGGTGAGTGTGCAAGGACTGTCCACCCCAGGCCACCCTCACAAGCCTGGCACCCAAGACTGCCTGTGGAGACAGGGGAGCTCAGGGACCCAGCACTCACATGACTCTGTGTATTCAGGAATGGGTGTGAGTACCGTGACGGCCGCTCGAATCCTAAAGGGGCAGATGAACGGGAAACTGGGACCCGAGACGCCCCTGGCCATGGACCGCTTTCCTTACCTAGCTCTGTCCAAGGTAAAGGCTGGACCAAATGGAGGAGCGGGGATGAGGCTAGAAAGTTTATCAGGGGAAGGTCCTGTCTTGGAGCCTGAGTTGGGGCTGGAGACAGGAGCCAGAAAGACAGGCCCTAGGGCTGGTAGCAGAGCTCACAGTATCTCGTTTCCAGACATACAGTGTAGACAGACACGTAACAGACAGTGCAGCCACATCCACGGCCTACCTGTGCGGGGTGAAGACCAACCTCCAGACCATTGGTGTGAGTGCTGCTGCCCGCTTCGGCCAGTGCAACACAACCCGGGGCAACGAGGTCATCTCTGTGATGAACCGAGCCAAGAAAGCAGGTGGGCTGTGGAAGGCGGCAGGGGCAGGGCCCGGGGGGGGCGGGCCAAACCCGAGACCTCACTTACCTGATCTCTGCCACCCTCAGGGAAGTCAGTGGGAGTGGTGACTACCACGAGGGTGCAGCACGCCTCCCCAGCCGGTGCATATGCGCACACAGTTGACCGCGGCTGGTACTCAGACGCCAACATGCCTCGCTCAGCACGCCGAGAGGGCTGTCTGGACATCGCCACGCAGCTCATCTCCAACATGGACATTGATGTGAGACACCAAGGCCAAGGGCTTGGGCTGTGCAGAGGGGGAGGGCCCGGCCACGGGTCTCAGGTCCAGGCATGAGCCGACGCAGGCGTGGTCTGTGGGTAGGAGAGGGGGGTGTGGAAGGTACATCCCAGAATAGCCCATTCCCATAGCCTCAGGATGGCAGCCAGGTCTCAAGACTACCTGCATGATCTTCTATCCCCAGGTGATCCTGGGTGGTGGCAGAAAATACATGTTTCCCAGGGGTACTCCCGACCCTGAGTACCCAACCAACGCTAGGCAGAATGGAACGAGGCTGGACGGGAAGAACCTGGTACAGGAGTGGCTGGATAAGCACCAGGTGATGGGGGCTCATGGATGCAGGGGGCACAGCAGGGAGAAAGGTAGGGGTGTGGATCTTGAGGTCAAGGGCTAAGGCCTGGCTCTGTCCCTGCAGGGTGCCCGCTATGTTTGGAACCGCACAGAGCTCCTTCAGGCATCCCAGGACCCGGCTGTGACTCACCTCATGGGTAATAACCCCCTTCCTGCTCTGGCATCCCTCTGAGGGCTGCCATTCGAGCACGTGTGCATATGTGTGCCATGAGTCCTCCCATCCCACAGCCTGACAGTCACCACCGTACTTTTGTTTCACAGGCCTCTTTGAGCCTGGAGATATGGAATATGAAATCTACCGAAACAAGACATTGGACCCCTCCCTGATGGAAATGACGGAGGCAGCCCTGCGCCTGCTAAGCAGGAACCCCCGTGGCTTCTACCTCTTTGTGGAGGGTACGTGGGGGCCCCTGCAGAGCAGAGGAGACGGCGGGGGGAGGGAGAGTCCAGGGCAAGTTCGAGCATCACTCTTCCCCTGTCCTTCCTGCAGGGGGCCGCATCGACCATGGTCATCATGAAGGCATAGCTTATAGAGCTCTGACAGAGGTTGTCATGTTTGACGATGCCATCGACAGGGCAGGCCAACTCACCAGCGAGAAGGACACGTTGACCCTTGTCACCGCTGACCACTCCCACGTCTTTACTTTTGGTGGCTACCCCTTTCGAGGGAGCTCCGTCTTTGGTAGGCCTGGGGGGCGTGGCAGGTTCTGTGTATACATTATATGGCAGAAATTCTGAGCCTCCGGTTTCCTCCCGTCATGGGTGGAATGGTGGTGCCTTTTAGGAATCGTGTGAGGATTAAGTCAGTGAATAGGCAAAACCTGGTGGTGCTTAGCCCTTGAGGCTCTTCCTCAGCTGTGGTTAGCGCCCACCACAGAGGACCCCTTCTCCCTGCAGGGTTGGCTGTCGGCAAGGCCCAGGACGGCAAGGCCTACACGTCCATCCTGTATGCTAACGGCCCAGGCTACGTGCTCCAGTCGGGCATCCGGCCTGATGTCACTGAGAAGGAGAGTGGTGAGTAGTGGGGTATCATGCTCAGAGTGACCACCAGGCTGAGGGGAGTGATCTCACTGGGGACAGGGTTGGGGGGAGGCAGGAAAGGCACTTGTCCCACCCTGAACACCACCCTCCCTGCAGCGGATCCAAAATACCGGCAGCAGGCGGCCGTGCCCCTGTCAGGGGAGACACACGCAGGCGAAGACGTGGCGGTGTTCGCGCGTGGCCCCCAGGCGCACCTGGTGCACGGTGTGCAGGAGCAGAGCTTTGTCGCGCACGTTATGGCCTTCGCCGCCTGCCTGGAGCCCTACACCACCTGCGGCCTGGAGCCCTTCGATGGCACCACCAGTGCTGCACGCTCAGGGCTGAATGCGGGCACATCGCTGCCATTGCTGGCGGGAACCCTGCTGCTGCTGCTGGGAGCCGCCACTATGTCTTAACCAGCCCCGCTCAGGCTGGCTCCTCCTCCCACACTCCATCTCTAGGCCTCCTGCCCCAGTCCCCACCAGGTACTGCCACCCCTGGCTTCCCCGGGGACGTGTTCTATTTCAGTACTTTCGCCTTTCTGAGGTAAACCAGCCTCACACAGCAAAGCACTGCAGGAAGCTGGGCCCCCAGGGCATCCTGGAGACTGAAACCATGATACCCAGGCCCTCCAAACTCCTGCCAAGCCTTGTGGTTGGGGATTTCTGCAGCTTGATGGACCACACCCCGAAAAGGAGCCTCCACTCGGCTTATAGCCCTGAGTTGGACCATGGAGGTAACCCCCCACAGGAGTCCCACTTGGGGACACGACCTGCCCAGATCCTTAGTTGCTTCATGGTGTCCTTGGCTTTAGTCATCGTAGCATCTAAGAACCCAGGACACCAGCATATCAGGCACTTGGGCTCCCAGCCGCCCTGCAATTGACCCTGCTGACCAAGAGGTTGCTGGGCCTGGGACCCCCCAGGACGCTTTGACACAGTCCTCTATTGGGCTGCTTTCACATCCCTGTACCCCTCTGTGGGGCCCAGTGGCATCATTACAGAAAGGACACTTGCCCAAGTCACAGCTACTCAGGACACTGCCTCTCCCCATACCCATTTCAGGCCAGAAGATCCAAGGGACAGCCTGGAAACTGGGCAGCCCCAGAGCAACTCTTGGCCCTTCCCCACCATCTGGACAAAGATGACACCTTATCCTCCCGGGGCCTTCATTGTTCTGGTAGCAGAAGTAACAATAATAAAGTACTATCCGATGGATATAACAATAATAAAGTGCTGTCCAATGTAATGACATTAATACACTCTAGAAAGAGAAATTTGTGTGTGGGCATCAAGTGTGTTTCTTGGTGGATAATTCACATGAGGTCAGGGAACTACTGAGGAGCAGGGCTGCTGAGTAGCAAGAGACCTGGACAAAGCAGGGGCTGGGAGCAATGCAGAAGAGCTGTGCAAAGGCCCTGAGGTAGCCTCAGCAGGTGCTCTTTGAGGCCAGTGGCTGGGTCAGAGTGAATGGTGGGTAAAGGAGGTACAGCCTGAGGAGGAAGATAGGTGGAGGGAGATAGGGGAGGATTTCGAAGTTGACATTGAGGGGTATGTGTTTGCAGGTCTTTGCAGAGGACTGACAGGATCAGACTGAGAAATCAGCTGCTGCCAGAAGGGTCTAGGCTTTGGGGCTGAGGGGAAAGTAGAAAGGGCAGAGGTGGAAGCTGGGGAAGGTGCAGACTCCAAGTCTCTGTCACCCATTTGAAAACATCCTGGATCACCCTCTCAGTATAGCTATTGGGATGGTGAGTATCTATATATAGTGATATCTAGCCTGCCCCAAAGAGAACACTTAAAAGAATTAAAGGGGACATCAACCTTATTTTTCAGCAAATTTGCAATATTAAAATTTATACGTACCTTCACAAAGGTACAAAAAAGCATTTTCTCCACTAGAAATGTTAATACAATTGAATCCTTATTGATTAAAAACTTGACTTCACATTGTAGAACATCTGTCAGAGGACCTGGCTCTCAGGCAGTTTACTTTAATCTGGGTTGTAGTGGATGTCACAAAGATATGGAGGCTGAAGAGAAGACAGATGCCATTACCTGGGCTTTAACTCATCACGCCCATCTCTAAATTCCATCCACCAATCATGTGAAGGCTTTTGTTAAAATCTACTAGTATATTTCTGTCTTCCCTGTTGTCATATAGTTGGTCTTGCAAACAGATGGGAAGGTGTTGCCTGTTTATGTTTTATATAAACAAGTTCAGACTAGATGCGGTGGCCCATGCCTGTATACCCAGAGCTTCGGGAGGCTGAGGAAAGAGGATTACCTGAGTCCAGGGGTTTGAGACCAGCCTGGGTAACTTGGCCAGATCTTGTCTCTATAAGAAAATCAATAAATTAGCAAGACCTGGTGGCGCATACCTGTAGTTCCAGCTACTTGGAAGACTGAGGCAGAACAATCGCCTGATCCCAGGAAGCCAAGGTTGCAGTAGCCTTAAGGGTGCCAATATATCACTGGCAACAGAGTGAGACTCCGACTAAACAAACAAACAAACAAACAAAGAATAAAAAAACCTGGTCAAACCCAAGGACCTCTATATATATATATATATATATATATATATATATTTTTTTTTTTTTTTTTTGAGTTGGAGTCTCACTCTGTCGCCCAGACTGGAGGGCAGTGGCCACTCCTGGCCACCGCAGCCTCGACCTGCTGGGCTCCGGCGATCCTTCCCCCTCAGCCTTCCAAGTAGCTGGAACTACAGGTGTGCGCTACCACGCTTGGCTAATTTTTAAATTTTTATTGTAGAGATGAAGTCTCAGCAAGTTGCCCAGGCGGGTCTCAAACATGTGGACTCAGGCAATCCACTCACCTCGGCCTCCCAAAGCGCGGGATTATAGGCTGAGCCACCAAGCCCGGACTAGGACCTCTATATTTTAACACTAGACAAGTTTTTTTTGTTTTTTTTTTTGAGTCAGAGTCTTACTCTGTCACCCAGGATAGAGTGCAGTGGCATGCTCATGGCCACCACAGTCTTGCAGGCCAGACTCAGGTGATCCTTCCACCTTAGCCTTCCAAGTAGGTGCAACTACAGGCATACGACACCTTGCCCGGCCAATTTTTTATTCTATTTTATTGTAGAGACCAAGTCTCACCATGTAGCCCAGGTTGGTCTTGAACCCCTGGACTCAGGCAGTCTTCTTGTCTCAGCCTCCCAAAGTGTTGGGATTACATGCTTGAGCCACTATGCCTGGCCCTAGACAAGATTTACAAATAGATTATCCTCAGATTAGATCATGGTAATGGATATACAACTTATGATATTGTAAAATCCACTGAACTTTGCATTTCAAAATGATATGGAAGAGTAATTACATCTAGACTTTTAAAAAAGGATTGTATCAGGCTGGGTGTGGTGGCTTCCATCTGTAATCTAAGCACTTTGGGAGGAGGAGGCAAGAGGATTGCCTGAGTCCAGGGGTTTGAGACCAGCCTGGGAAACTTGGTGATACCTCATCTCACAATAAATCAAAAATGGGTTTTTTGGAGTTTTTTTTTTAGATGGCGTCTCACTCTGTTGCCTAGGCTGGAGTACGGTGGCACACTCACAGCCACCACGGCCTTGACCTTCTGGGTTCAGGCAATTCTTCCGCCTCAGTCTTCCAAGTAGCTGGAACTACAGGCATGTGCCACCATGCCCAGCTAATTTTTTTGATTTATTGTAGAGATGAGGTCTCACCAAATTGCCCGGGCTGTTCTTGAAAGTGTGGGCTCAGGTAATCCTCTCACCTTGGCCTCCCAAAGTGCTAGGATTATAGACTTGAGCCACCACGCCTGGCCAAAAGGGGTTTTATCAGTCAAGTAGCCAAATATATTGTTGGACAGAAAACCAAGAGCCAATGAAAACATTTTCTTTTTCCTTCCTTCTTTTTTTTTTTTTTTTTTTTTTTTTGAGTTGGAATCTCCCTCTGTTGCCCAGGCTGGAGTGCAGTGGCATGCTCATGGCCACCACAGCCTCAACTTGCTGCGCTCAGGTGATCCTTCTCCCTCAGCCTTCCAAGTAGCTGGAACCACAGACACGTGCCACCATGCCTGGCTAATTTTTTGATTTGTTGTAGAGATGAGATCTCACCAAGTTGCCCAGGCTGTTCTCGAACCCGTGGGCTCAGGCAATCCTCTTGCCTCTGCCTCCCAAAGTGCTGGGATTACAGGCATGAGCCACTGCTCCTGGCTAATGAAAACATTTTCAAACTATTGTTCTAAAAAATGCACTTTCCTTAGCGTGAGTTTTCATCTAAAGATAACTACTTTCTCATTTTTTTCAATAAAATGACTTTTTTTTTTCAGGTCTCACTCTGTTGCCCAGTCATGGCTCACCTCAGCCTCAACTTCCTGGACTCAGGCGATACTTCTGCCTCAGCCTCCTGAGTAGCTGGAACTACAGGCATGTGCCACCACACCCGGTTGATTTATTTTCATTTTTATTTTTTGTAGAAATGAGGTCTTACTCTGTTGTCTAGGCTGGTCTTGAACTCCTAGGCTCAAGCACTCTTCTCAATTTAGCTTCCCAAAGTGTTGGGATTATAGGTATGAGTCACCACACCCAGCTGGAAGGAGGACATCTTGTCCGTGAAGGGGCAGACCCAGGGAAAGCACACTTATTTTCTCAAGTTTTTTACTAAGTGCCTAAAATGGACAGCTCTTGTCCCCTCTCCAACAAGTGGCAAAACATGTCAGCACATTGGTCTTTACAGGAAGAGAGGGAAAGTAAGGAAGACAGGGAAGAGAACTCAGGAAAGCTCATTTCAGTACTTTATAGATGACTCATTCTGTGTGGCTGGAAACTTTCCATGGTCACCCCAATCCCCTGACCAAGTATCAGAAAGATTCTACTCTAATGTGGCAATCTCAGCTTTATGAAATTAACCCCACTGTCTCCTACAACATTTTCTGTGCCTTCGAGGCTTCAATCCTGCCATGATTAGACTGGGGATGAGTCGATGAGTGAGTTGTAACTACCTCTACATCCTCGTTCTTACCCAGAATCCTTATTTGAAAACATCCTTTCTGTGCTATTCCATCAGTGGTTGCAATCCCACTGTTTTCCCCATGACATTATTTTTATTTTTATTAAGGAAGGCATTTACCATTAGCAATACATCTTCTTGCTATCTTTCCTTTAGTATTTCATTGAAAAAAAGTGGTTTGTGAATTTCATTATTAAAACAGAACTGGCAATACCTGAGATATGCTGGGAATCACCTGTTTCAACACACCATCTAGGAAACCACCACTTACTTTTTCTTCCTTCCTTCCTTCCTTCCTTCCTTCCTTCCTTCCTTCCTTCCTTTCCTCCTCCACTCTCTCTCTCTCTCCACCCTCCCTCCTTCCCTCCCTCTCTCTCCCTCTGAGTCAGGGTCTTCCTCTGTTGTGCAGGCTGAAGTGCAGTAACATGA